TTTTTTTTTAAGTCCAGGTTGTTGTAGCGGCCAGTCAGTGTCTGCACAGTGATCACCTGGAACTGTGAGCTGCGGATGTCCTGGAATATGAGACCACCTCCCAACCCATCCTCACGTCAGTACTCCTAGCGCACCCCCTATCCCACTATTCTACCTCAGTGTGACCAGCACTCAGTACCATTGCCCTACCAATGGGCACTGCCAGGCAACTTGGACCGAACAGCAGTGATAGGCACCAGGGCTGATAGATTGCCCAGCCCTGGTGGAAGCGGAATCGGACGAACCTTGTCGAACCGGAACTTCGGACAATGAAGTACAGGTCCAGACAATGAACTACAGGGCCATATATATATAGCCACCAGACAGTTCAATCCGAATGTCATGTCAGTAGGAACTGCACCCAATGGCACCCTATCCAACCTACCTGAACCTACTGCAGGCACTAGACCCCACCAGTGATTAGCTCACCAGCCTGTTTTTTGTGTATATATTCTGTGAATCTGTGTAGACAGCATCATGTGTGGAACCTTGTGTATGTAACCTGTAAGCGATATATAATTCGCAAGCTATGTGTGCATGCCCGAAAGCTATGTGTACTCTGTGAATCCTGTATCGAGGAGAGAACGGGCCAGCTGGACAAGGACCCCCCCCAAGGACCAAACCAAGCTTGAACCCGTGACCTTGTAGCATGTTATCCAAGACTCTACCGTATGAGCGCGCCAGCCCATTCTGACAACTGGGACACCAGGCACACTCGTGAAAAAGAAAAGCAGCATTGGGGTTAGGAAGGAGGACGCTAGAAATCCGAAGCGTTGCAGGCTGTGAACTCTAGATGCTTCGTTCATGAGTGTCCTTTTAGAGTGCTTTCTGACAGTGAGAGTGCTTTCTGACAGCTCTCGAAGGGTGTTTCCGTGAGTTGGTGTCTAGAGTCAGGAGCTCGCCATATCCCGAAAACGCCTATTCGGAGAGGAGGAGCATCACCATACGGACCCTGAAAATCACGATCAGAAGCAAATTCGAGAGCGGTCAGAATTCGGGTTTCGAGAGTGCTCTCGAACGGTGGTCCTTGCCCCGCCTGCAAAGTGACCAACTTCAAGAGTGCGCTCCGACCACCTCCCATTTCGGCCCGAAACTTGAGAGTGCGTTCCGACCACCTCCCATTTCGGCCTGAAACTTGAGAGTGTGCCGTGTGAAGGACACCCGTCTGTGGCCACCCATCTGTGGCCACCGTTTTGTTGTGTGTGGTTCGAGAGAGCTCTTGAACCGTGAAGGTCCTTCCAGACCCCGGGCGGGGCGAATCTGCCCCGCAGGAGGGGGACACTGGCGGTGCACGAAAAGTACTGCTGCACAAGTCTTGGGAGAGGCCTCACTGCCACACTGCGCTCTCCAAAAAGGCCCGGTCTTTTCTGACACATTGGAGACCCCCCCACCCCCCCCTCCTTCCAGAGGGCAGTGCGGCTACGAGGCCTCTCGAAAGGTTTTTCTCGACTCTCCGAGTTAGGGCCTCGCCACACCACTCTCGAATCGAAATGTGAAAAAGACAAAAATGTGGAGGGTGCATCTGGCCATCTTCTATCAGAAAGTTCATTTTCATTTTGCACATTGCACATTTCGAGAGTGGTGTGGCGAGGCCCTTTAGAGACTGCTCCTGAACAGTTTTCCGTTTTCGGGATAGGTGCGGCGAGCCCCTAAGTGGAGGGGGGAAAAACGAAAAAACAAAAAGTGGAGCGAGGCGCTTAGGGAGACCAGCCTCTCACATACGGAAGGGGTGTGAGGCACCAGTCATCATCCCCTTATTATATGATAAAGCCAACAAGGATCTGCACGTCATCAAAATCCGAACAATGCGAAGAGAAAATTAGGGAGGGAGTCGTGTGCGTGGGCGTGTGCCTGTGTGGGTGTGTGTGTGTATATAGGGAGCCGAATGCCTCCACTTTTATTTCCGTCTTAACCCGACTGGCGTTCGGCGTTGTCGGTAGTCGCCCGCGTGATTTGGGAGCGTCACAATCGGTGGCGTTCGCCCATTCACGTGCGGCGCTAGAGCAGAGCTGGTGAGGGGAGCGGAGGGAGGTGGGGACATTGGGGGCGCGGAGGAGGTCTGCTAAGGAATCGATCCGTCGGTCGGAGAATTTCAAGAGCGTTGGAAATTAAGGAGAATTTCAGTTGACGTGACTGCGTTGTTATTGTTCAAGCGACGACTTCGTGGCGACGACAGGGCAATCTTTTTGCCCCTCGGCTCGAGTAACTAAACGTTCTTTCGTCTTCCATTCTCAGGTAAATATAGATATAAATATATATGCACATACGTGTTAAATATATACGTTCAATTTGTACCCATATATACCTGCTTGTCTATCTGTTCGGGTCCTCCGGACTGCAGTTCCTTACGACTTCATAGCCCTTCTTCTTCTCTCTCTCTCTCTCTCTCTCTTCGTCCCGTTTGCCTCTCCGTTCTCCCTCTTGCGTGTGCATATCTTATCTCACTCCTGTGTTCACACATCTCTCTCTCTCTCTCTCTCTCTCTCTCTCTCTCTCTCTCTCTCTCTCTCTCTCTCTCTCTCTCCCCTTTCATCCCGTTCTTGCGTGTGCATATCTTATCTCACTCCTGTGTTCACCTCTCTCTCTCTCTCTCTCTCTCTCTCTCTCTCTCTCTCTCTCTCTCTCTCTCTCTCTCTCTCTCTCT